TTAAGAATCACATAAAAACATGGGGATTTCTTTTCTAACTACTGAACATAACATCAGCACAATTGTGTACTCAAAGAAATTCCATAATGTGCATCCTCCCTATAATCAGAAGGAAAAAAACAAATTCACACTTTATGGTCATCTTCGCTCCATCTGAGCCTCCACCCTTTCTTCAAAGGATGGCAGTTATACCATAAAAGAAAACACAATATGAGATCATATACAGAAGTGAAACGGTTTTCGTTGTTCATCTGCAAAAGAAAACTTTAACCTTAATTACATCAAGCTGCTCTTTCATAAGAACCTGTTGTTTAGATAAGGAAGTCTTTCAGTGTGTGATATATTTTCCACTTTATCATTAAATTCATCAACCCATGTTTCCAAAATTATTAACGGTTTCTGTAAAAGACCCTCATTCCCAGTGTTTTATTAGGGATTGAGGCACACATGCCTCACCAAACATCACACACACTCCTTTGTGCCATTTGCTTTGCCCTTTCCAGATGTTTGCCATAAAGGACAGTGACTATATCTGTGCCTAAGTGAATACCACAAACATAAACTAACTTCAAAGTTAGTGCTTCCCAAAGTCTAGGGTAAAACCCAGAAGTAGCCATGAATTTCCACACAGCCAACATATATCAAACACTTCTGAGCTATATTTTACAACAGAATTATAGATCTTTCCTCTCTGTCTATGCAGTGTACTGTACTCTTTACTATTGTAAGGCCATCAGCCTGTTTAAAAGGTGTAAACCCTCTCAAGGGCATTTACAATTATCTTTACTGTGCCCACATCAGTGATTGGGGAAACCAAAACAACCACATTTAACTCTGGAAGAACAACCTCATTCTTTAGGTGCTTCCAGCATGTTTGAGGCCGATCAAAATCCCTCAATGAAATGTGATGAACCCAAAATCCTACCTTCACGGTGTCAAACAATGTGTCAAAGTTGAGTACACATGTCAAAAGAACTCACAACTGTTGTTACTATGTTTACTCAGACAATGAAGGCCTAATGAACTGATCAGGAAGTGACATGCTAGAAAATCAATCTACCTATCCTACAAAATGCGCACAAGTTGCTATAAATTTGCATGCTATAATTACTCGAATCACTTTTACTCATGCTCAGGACTCTAACAGAGTTTGTGATGTTCGGAGAGTTTTGTAAATGCATATCATTTATAAAATGATTATTAACGTCACACCAACGACCTCCTTAACTTAAAAACATACTAAGCTTTCCAGGGAAACTGATTGGCTGTTTAAGCAGGTGTTATCTGCATTCATTCGCTGATCCCTCTTGGGTGGCACAGAGTCTGCCCTGCAGTCGTTGAGTTGGAGCTTGGCACGCCCTTGTTGGAGGAGGGCGCTCTTTTAACCCCTCACCCTCTCATTCCAATGCAGCTTTATGGTTATTGCTGTGGTTCTGGAATCGTCTCATGATGACTAGTAGGGATGCCTGGGCTGTCAGCTCTGCTATGAATGGTCCCTGATTCTCGCTGGGTCTCTGAAGACTTCTGATCAGCACCCAGACTCAGTCAGGAGATTCCACCCTTGGGATGATTTCTTCCAGCAATACTCTGGCTCCTGCACCTGTATCTCTTTACTAGGAGGAAAAACTTCTAACCATTTGGAAAACATGTCAACCAT